TAGTATTTTTTTTTTGAAAAATAACACCTCAATGAATTGGGGGATTAGGACAGGTGTAAAGATGATGGAAGTTCTGTGTGGGATTACCAACCATGTTAGTCTGATCTTATCAAAGATTTCATTGAGGTGGAGATTTCTGTCGGCGTTTACAAGGATATGTAGCCGCAGTATTCATAATGGATGTCGTACATTCTGTCCTTAGACATTTTTAATATGAATATTCTAGGCAAATAAAATACCATTCCGTCACCTCCATGCATTTGTCCGCCGAGAAATCTCCGTACACGCTGCTCAATTCAGTGTATGTGTCAGGTTTCGGTACCATTCATCATGGGTTCTATATTTATATTTGTCTTAATGATACACATAAAATCAACTTTCTATTTTTGCGAGTTACAACATGTTCTCTGGATTCCGTTCGTGATTTCGCTCCTCGTGATCTGTTTAACTCCTTATTAATAAGTTATAATAACAAATATATATATATATAAAATAATGTAATTTTCAACTTAATTTGCCCCAAAGATCACGCAACTCGAACGTTCGCTCTTAATGAAATAGAACCGATTGACATTTAAACAATGTAAAGGCGATCCTTTCTTAAGATGTCTGCTTTTTATTTGTCACTAAAATCTGAAATATCGGCTGTCGCTTCTCCTGGGGCAATTGATGTCGCATAGTATTCTATTACTGTTTATTTTCTTCTCGCCGTGTATTTTTGCTCTTTACTGAAGCCACTGAGCCTTCACAATGCCAGAGTCACACAGCCAGACCTTTCCAATCTAAGAAGGGCAGTCACATGCTAAGACACAATTGTCCCTCTGGGGCACATCTGGTCTGTATTGGTGTTAATTGGTGGGGTATGTATGGTCATCCCGATATGGATCATATTTGCGTACTAAGCAATTGTGCTATCACAATAGTAGACACCGTATTCCCCGGTATAGATTAGATATATCTGGCGAATTTCGACACTGTCGTGTCAGGCTGCTTAAGCTGAGGACAAGAGGTTGGATCGTCACTAAAACCGGAATGAAAATCGCCCCATCGGAACAATTAAACGTTGGTACGTTCAGTACATAGCAATGTGTTATTTATAGAACGTGTGCTACCAAATGAAGACCTGGAAAAAAGTGAAAAAATCGGGAAGAAAAGAGAAATGCCGTGACATTCACGCTAATGTGGATTACGCAAAGATATCAATGATATTGTAAATGTGTCGTGAATTGGAAGGGGTCTCCTTTTGCCTGTCACTGTTTCTCGAAGTATAGTCGAACATTGCAATTGAAAGGTGAAAAAAGCGTTTAGTCAATACTAACATATTAAGAGAGATGTTAAAACTTCGAGTCCGTTGCTCTTATTATGATATATGATCTGTTGCGTGCAGTCAGACTTACAAAATCCCGGCTTTCTGTGGCGTACTGGGACTATAAAAACATACGCTGTATTTTTTTCTTATTCAAGTGCCCCTCCCCCGCCCGTATATGTTAAACATTACAACGACCATTTTCCTATACAATGGCTTACCGCTGGTCCGCGCTCACCGGCGTGTTACACCGTCACTTGCGGTTGTACATAAAGATATCTATTTAATTACTAACAAAAATAAACAAGGCATTAACACTATTAGCTGTGAACGGAGCTACGCCCACTCCTTCAAAACAAAGACCGGTTGCGTAACTTGTTTACTTGGGCACTTTAAGCGACTTTGTTTTATAAGCTAACAGTTTTTATTGGCACGTCAACTCAGCAGGTATTGTCCGGTGTTCACACCGATTACAGCAGGGGTCGTTCCGGGTCACAGCAGGTCCTCTTGTACTTGTTGTTGTGTTTGTATTTGTAACGTAGTCTGCCACTTTAACCCTGACCTTTGTCGTGTTATGTCCCCCCCTGAAAGCCGATTCGCGTGCCGTTTGTAGGAACAATGGTGTGCCTGTAGAGGGCGCTATTTTGACGACAACGAGCAGCGGTGCATAGCGGTGGTGGTGTGTTACATGTAATTTCGTTCAGTGGTGTTTTACCGCGGGCTGGTCGTAATTGAAAACTGCTAGTATTATCCATTTTTCTTACGTATTAACACCCGGCATTGTGTTATTCCAGCGTCGCTCGGAAAATACCCGGGGATGGTAATTTCGATGGCAACTGCTACATACATCAGTGCGGTGGCCCTGAGGAGATATGACGAGGAGGAGGAGTGCATTTCCGCCAAACACACGGCAATATCCGTGATTGGTTTGGCTTTGATATCGTATAGGAAATCAGTTTGGGTTAAAGCAATAGGTCAATGGTCGTTAGTAGTTCTTGATCTATTATGCCAAAGGGTAAAGACTTTTCAACCGTTTCGTGTTGTATATACTTGTACTCACAGAAAAGAAAAAAAAGTCTTTATCTCTGACCGAAATTCAGACCCTGAAACCGAATCCTGTCCGTGTTAGTTTGGAGGCAATTTGACACGGGGTGGCGACCTCTCTTGTTTCACGCGCTTGATCATTTTGTCTGGATTCGCTAATATCTTTGTGGGTATAGCTGTTGTACGGAAACCTCGAAAAGCACATTTTTAAAAAAAATAATAATATTAACAAAAAATGGTCGGGGAAAAATAACGGGCTGGGTCATGGATTTGCTGTACTGTGGGTCAGAACACAAACACCTCACAACCCTGGCAGACGATATGTATGCATAGCTTGTACCTATGGGCAGCACCGATTTATTGTGCTCGATGTTTACATTATAAACGAACAATACTGTCTGGCCCTTTGAAAATGGTCTCTTTTGTCAGGTATTCTTAAGAGAGGCAGAGACCCTTGTGGACAGGCATTTGTTTTGACTTGGTGTGGTTATGCAGAACTTTAAGAAAAATACAATAGAGCGGGCGGCTTACAGTGGGATTTTTTCCCGTCTTTAAGTGTGCTCCTCGCACGCTAGCTGTAACGCCGTTCAATTTTAAAAAAAGAACTCTTTAAAACTCACATCAAGCGCTGATTGACGAATGTGCATGTGTATATTTCGTAATGGCCAGTAAAGTTTTGAATCTTTGCCGGTTATGAACTGAAAGTGAATAATTCGTTCTCGCGTATTCAAATGCATACAATATATCCGCAATATACATTAGGTAAATTAGTATAAGTATTCGAACTCCGAGATTGTAAACGCAACCATCTCCCCGAGTTGTTTTTTGTTGGAAGAAAGGCATATTTTTCACGGAGGGAGGGACGACGCTTGCTGTAGTGCCCTTATCAGTGCACATGGGGCGAACGAGTAAAGTAGTTCGAAACCTTTGGGTCGGCAGTCCCCGCCCCCAGTACAATGATTGCTAGAACGGCTTTGTTTGTCAGTGTCTTGGTTCGATTTATCTTCTCGGCGTCTGCCATTTGGCCCATGTTGCCCTACTACCTCTCATATCATGGACACCCTGCGTTCACAGACTCTGCCCTCTAACCACGTCATTTGCGCTACATTTTTCTCTAGCGAGAACGCGATTGTATGAAACATAGTAAATAGGAAAATAGGACGCATAACAGAGAACGGAGTGGAAAAAACTGTTTCGCCAACCACACGCGCCTGCACTGTATTTTATTTTTAAAAAATCACAACAACATGTTATGGTTAATTTTGCGGCGATCACGGTTCTCAGATTTAACGAGTGTGGGCTTGATTTGTGTAATGACAGTGACATTTGTACCCCATTCGCTCACTTTTTCTATACACATTACGAGGTCTATAATTCCCCGGTGGCAAAGGGCAGGACTACTTCAAAATGGTTACCGTTATGCTCAGCCTCAATATAAACATCGACTGCAGCTCAACGTCTTCGAATTTTGTTTAGTTATTGCCACCCGAAGGTCGTCTAAGGTCAACTCCAAACGTGCGCTGTTACATAATCATTAATGCTATTTACGTGTTATGTACTCGTTAAGTCGGATTTGAACTTTAATTGCCAGGCATAGTTGCGCGTACGGGACATGGATGCAAGTATGTTTCCTGCCGAGTTCGGGCTTGTAATAATATTGAATATCGCAACCAACGACAGCTGGAGAGTAATCACAAAGGTTCCACCTTAAAAAAAAACCAAGTCAACAACAAGAAAAATTATCAAATATATAAATATATATACATATACTGAAAATAAATTTAAACACTGAACCATACGTTGCGTGGAACGATGAGTCGGTTCTATCGCTAACCGTCGTTCCGTATATAACACTGTGTACGTCTTGCGTAGTACAAGACGAAATCAAACACTCGTCTCGATCCGTCGCGATCCTCCATTCGCTTTCTGTATACAGTCCTATGATTTATCATATGTATAACTTATCGTCATCATCCTCCCATTTTTCACACCTCAACAATGCAGTAATGCCCGACCAATAAACAGTGTTTGGTGCTTTGATTGGTGTCCCAGCCACATGACCCCCATAAAGTGGATTTCCTAAGTAAACAACGAGCGTAAGGATATATTGACAATATGGCACCCATAAGTAGAGGCAGCGACAGCCAATCAGCGACGAGCTAGCTGCACCGAATGACAGGCCCTGACTACCCTCAAGGATAGAAGCAGTCGCCTTTAATTATCAGCTTCCAATCACCCCCTTGAACCTAGCTGACATTTCTTTCCATATAAGGCAATAATTGTCATAGAAACCCGACAGTTTCAACAAAAGAGTCAAAGTTCAGTATATACAGACATTCACGCACATCCCACTTCAAAAAATTACTCCGCACTAGGGCTGAAGCCGCCTTCGGTTTTTTCAGCCTTTTTTGTCACAGTACTAGAGTTACATGACAGCATATCTAGGTCGCTGAATCAAGTCTTCACAAGGTGAGCTTTTTCCAATATTAGTCATGGCCCGACTTAGGTTATTTTTCCCTCACTTTTGTCCGCTCAGGTTAGTCGTGTACTATTATGTTTCTTTTAAAGTTTTGATCTCTATGTAAAGATCTCAACCTTAACCCGAACTTTTCTTTATTTGTTTTTCCCCCCGTGCTCTATGCCTGAACAGTCGGTCGCACACATTGTACTCCGCCGAAATATGGCGATGGCAGTTAGTACATGGAGGGACCCTAATGAAGACCTGTCAGCCGACAAACAGCAGCACCAACAGCAGCCGCCGCCGCCACACCAACAGCAGCAGCCGCCGCCGCCAACCCAACCCCAACCCCAACAACAGCCTCCGCAACAAACCCCGACCACACCGCAGCAGACACCACCAGCACCGCACCAGACCATCACTCCACAACAAACTTCAACGCCCCAGCAACCCCCACAGCAGACGGCGACTCCACAGCAGACAACAACTCCCCAGCAAACAGCAAGTCAACAGCAACATATAGAATGTGTAGTTTGTGGAGATAAAAGCAGTGGTAAGCACTACGGTCAGTTCACATGCGAAGGATGTAAAAGTTTCTTCAAACGGAGTGTACGGCGTAATCTGACCTACACTTGCCGTGCGAACCGCAACTGCCCCATAGACCAACACCATCGTAATCAGTGCCAATATTGTCGGCTGAAGAAGTGTTTGAAGATGGGAATGCGCAGGGAAGGTAAGCAAAGTGAGTTTGTTTCGTTCATTTTACGATTTTAGTGCATATACTTTAGTTTTGAACAGGCCAGTAAACGTTTTGTTGAAGCGAGTGTGTAATTCGCATGTTCCTATAGTGTTATTGGTCACAATCACTACTGGGATAGGCTCGCTGGGACGCATGTTGTACAGTGCGCGGCATGTCAAGAGCGCGTAAATTCGTTTTTACTGACCAAAACTACAATTCTGTTTTTCTTTCCTTTCTCGCAGCTGTCCAGAGAGGCAGGATTCCCCCGACTCAGCCAGTACCCGGCCAATACGCCCTAACTGACGGTCGGTTTGACGGGCACTCCTACCTTTCGGGATTTATATCGCTATTATTACGTGCAGAACCATACCCAACGTCGCGATACGGAGCGCAGTGCATGCAGTCCAACATGATGGGAATCGATGGCATATGCGAGCTGGCAGCCCGTCTCTTATTCAGCGCTGTAGAGTGGGCTCGCAACATTCCATTCTTTCCCGATCTACAAGTAACCGACCAAGTCGCCCTGCTCCGTATGGTTTGGAGCGAGCTATTTGTGCTGAATGCATCACAATGCTCTATGCCATTACACGTAGCTCCTTTGCTAGCCGCCTCCGGCCTGCACACCAGTCCGATGTCCGCCGACCGTGTTGTAGCGTTCATGGACCACATCCGAATATTCCAAGAACAAGTGGAAAAACTGAAGGCTCTACATGTCGACTCCGCCGAGTACAGCTGTCTGAAGGCCATAGTACTATTCACTTCAGGTGAGTTTCAACAACTTTCATTGATCGAAGTTCGGGGCAGTTGACAGCGAGACAGTCGACATAGGCAAGTTTGCATGTTAGTACGCTATAGGCCTCCACTGATCCGTACATTACAGCGCCTCGCTCTGTATAGTCAGTGTACACACGCTATACAGCAGTTGACAGATACCCAGCATTTTCTTCCTAGACATATACACGAACGTAATAAGATAAACGAATTTTCGGAATGACGCAGTTTTAAAATAGTGTGATTCTGTGGGAAGATCGGTGCTTTTGACGATTGATTGAAAACGTGTATTAATTGATCGGTTTGGGTTGAAGAGTTACTCCAATAGGCCAGGCTATTTGTATTGTATTAAAGTGTACTGTGAAAAGGCAATGGTTGTCAAACAATACCGCTCGCGAATACAAGTTGGGATTACCAGAGAACGGGCAAAAAATGCCCTAGAATATGCACAAAACATGGTCAAAAAACCCAAACCTGCAGGCGTCTTTGTATTTGGCCTGCCTTCACCGTAACACCGACGAATTGATGGGGGTCACGCGATTCATCTCTGCTGCATGGCTGTTTTAACGGGCCATGTGCAGCTCGTCGTTACCAAATTCGTCGGACAGGGACTGTAATTATTATTTTCCAAATGCAATTGTCGCATGTATAGCATGTTAGGCGGGAGGTTGCAGATGCAATCTGATGGTAACAAGAAAACGTTTGTTTTCGGTGTTAGCGTATCGCCGCGTTTTCCCTTATGTATACCAATTCCATAGACTTATTAAATATCGTGCATTTGTTAATGTAAACACGATTTAGGAAGCTCGTCTGGTAAACAATATTGGAACACCCCTCTCATAACTGCTGTTTCGTTTGATATTTATTTATTTGTATTTTCGACTCGAAAGCGTTGGAATTTCCACCTCGTATCGCCGTACAATAGCAGTATGTCAGCGTGTCACTGAGGGGGTCACTGTGTTGTTCAGTCGGGGGCGAGGGCTGTCATCACTTGCCCTAATGCCAAACTCTTTTGACCGCTCCGCCATAAAGAAGTTTATATTATTGTCACATCAGCTGAGGCCCAGTAGAAGCTGTGAATATCCACGCATAGTCGAATTCGGCTGGATGTTTTTTTTCTTAAATCGCGCTTTTGTAGCCCAATTTTTTTTTCACTCACTGCAACTTCCTGTTTTTACGCACTTTTTGATTTTTTTATTGATTTTTCCAGTGTCATTTAAATAAAAGATTAAGGCACCTAAACACATTAACTTTTTTTAGTGAGCGTTAGGTATCTGTTTTATGCCGCTTAAATGTTATATGGCTATGAGTTTTTGTTTGTAGCACTTCGTTAACTTTTCCCGCTCTTTTTTTTACTTCATATTAAAATATATACCTGAGCCCAACCATGCATAGCCATTCGTTATAATTTTCTATTTGGTCTTAAATTTTACATGATTTCGTTAATCAATGCGTTCTTCGTTTTGAGTAACATAAAACTGACAGATTGTAGACAGACACATGTTCTGATTTGGGCATGTGAGATCACACGAGAAAATTTGTCTATTTTATCTAAATGTAATGGAAAAAGTCACACAAACATGAGAAGCATTTTTTTAAAACGCAATTTAAATGACTCTGATAGGTGTGTTAATTTGGTAGAATTGACTAGGTATCATTATGCTAAAACATGGGCAGACGCTCAGATCTGACGAGAAACACGCGACTCACTCGCAGCTAAGGTTCTATGGTTTTTGATCGTGTTCCTACGCCGTGATATTATTGTGACGCCATTTTACCCAGCATAGCGGGAAAGTATCGGAGTGTGTTTTTGCATTTGGACATCAGACGACACCCATCAGTGTTTCAAACGGGATCCGGGCGTTCTTGCATACTTACGCAGTCCTGTACCACACCGCAAATACTCAATTGTTTTGTTGTTGCTAATATTTTGCCTCCAATTTTCAGCGCTATTGTGAATTTCTTTTGTGTAGAAGTTGTCAAATTAGCAAATTACAGCCAACGGGAAACACGCTGAACAATAGTAACGCTTTTCAAAAAAAAATGTTAATATCTAAATAGAAGTGTAGAGTTAGAAATGCTCAGCGCAGAGACGGTATGTTTGATGAACCCGACGGATGTTTTATTTTTAAACCTGCTCCGTATTGTGGGTTTAATTGATAACAAGGGAAGCTATTTAAATATAATTGCTGAATTACTTTGTGCTGGTTGTGGAAAAAAGTGAAATATATGACTCGTCTATATTTGTTCAGTGAGTGTATTTTGCTAGTACCGAAACTATAAAGACCTATAATAACTCCCCAGCCCGCAAAACACCTGGTATTCGGGAAGGGTGTGTATATCGAGTTGTTGTTGTAGCAGGATGCAGGCGATAAAAATCCGTATTCAAATTGTGTGTGTTTTTTTTCGACTTAGTAGGACAACTCTTTTTTTCTGCGTTTAATCTCATAAACAGACACTGTCATTATAGTAGAATCGAACATATCAGCTAAACCGAGATTCTTATCTAATTAGTTTCTTTTTTCCGAGAGTCACAGAGTTATCGTTTTCACAATCATTTGCCGAAAACTAACCATGTCTGTCGCTACAGAGCGAACAGTCAGTGGGGCGGGGGAGGGGGGGGGAGGGGGTTGGCAAGGATTTACTGGCCATTTCTCCTTGTATGTATGCATCGACTGACATCCATACTCTGCCCTTGCATTCCCTCACGTCGTGCGTCCCCCTTGTTCCCATTCCTAAGAATCGTGCAGCCCCCATCACTTTTTTAAGACATTCATCAGCGTCGACCAACCGTCGGGAAACAAATTTGATACCCTAACAAACGTAGACTTCACCTGATGTATACAGGATATACACTTGTACCACACTGACCATGGCCTGATTTGTGTTTACGCCTGTTTTTTACAATTATCTTGTTTTGTGATGAATAATAGCGAAATTCATCAAATAACCTATCCCCACACGTTCTCGTTTAATTTCGGTATTGTTTTGCCATTTCTTAACGTTTGGTGTACACACACACTAAGTTGATCTTCTTTATCACTGGCGTTTCCCAATTTGTGGGGGAAATGTCATGATTCATTCCCTGTGCCATCTGCTTATTGCTGAGCCCGGCGCGCACTCAGCCGTCTGTATGATAACAGGCTTAGTTTCGTGGTTTTCGTTCTTTCGCGTTCATTTCACAATGCAAGTAATGTTCTCTAGGGCAAAAGGGAAGTACGGCACCGTTAATCAATCCCATCTCAAAACCGCAGAAATGCATCTTCTTCATGATAAAGCGAGGGTATACACATTAGAGTGTAAGTGGCGGTGGTTACGGTACATCTGTGCCCATATTAGGTAGCGTATGTCTTTATACTGTGTTGTGCAAGTTCCGAAAGTGCATTGCGTATGCGTTTGGAAGTCACAAACTGTATTTCCGTGTGCACTCCTGTGTGTGTGTGTGTGTGTGTGTGTCAATTAAATAAAATGCGGGTTTCGCGCACATCTCTAGTGTAATTCTCATTTTAAGTTTTCCTTTCTTTTTTTATTTGACAGATGCTTGCGGATTGTCGGACGCAGCCCACATTGAGAATCTACAGGAAAAGTCCCAATGCGCCCTGGAAGAGTACGTCCGGAGTCAATATCCTAACCAACCAAACCGTTTCGGGAAATTACTGCTCCGTCTGCCTTCTCTGCGTACAGTGAGTTCGCAAGTAATCGAACAGCTATTCTTCGTACGTTTGGTAGGTAAGACACCGATAGAAACCCTGATTCGAGACATGCTTCTGTCTGGTAGTTCCTTCAACTGGCCATACATGGCAATCCAATGAGAAAGAACAGAACTTTTTAACGAATTCCAATTACCAACCCTGTTACCGAACGCAGGAGAATACAACAAATGACAACAAATGTAACAACAAGTCTTTCTTTTAAAACACCATGAGAAGTTAGTTTTGTATGCTTTCTTTTGTAACTTGTAAAGAAGCATATGTGACACTTTTTTTTTAAAAAGGAAAGAAAAATTATTATTATTATTATATTTTTGGACTTGAAAAAGTCTGGAATGGCGAATTTTATTAGTGTACCATTGTGTTCAATGTAGAAAAAACGTTCTATATGTTGAAAAAAGAAAAAAAATGCTCAGAGCAGAAACAAAAAATGAAAGTTCTATTATTTTTTCTATTGAAGAATCAAAACATAAAGCAAACAATATTTTATGCCGACTTCTTCAAAATACACCTGGATAATAACACAGATTTTTTTAACACTGTTTGTTTCGAAAGCGGAGATATTACGTATCATGTTTATGGTAGTGCATTTCTTAGTGTTTTTTGAATGTAGGTGGCTGTAGGGTAATGTTGAAATGTGATTTCGGTGTTCTTTTCGTCTTTTATACCAGGTTCAAAACCGGTGTGTTTTATTCATGAGAAACAACACAAAAAACGTCACTTTATTTCCGAGCCTTTTTTTTTTTGATAATGACATTTCTTAGATGTACTACACAATGCATTGTCGTATCACAACGAGTAAGACATATAAACAAAAAAATGTAAACAAAAACTAAAAAAAAAAGAGAGGAGGAACCAAGCAACCACTATGTCCGTGGTTGACGCGGAGGCTTTGAGCCAGTTTAAGAGAGTAGAAAAAGTAAATCAAAAATTATTAAAATAATGATAATAATATTATTAATCCATTTATGTTCATATATTTCCATGGATTACGATTGTGTTGGACACATGATGCGTGACTGCCCATATATGGGTCCTACATGTTGATTTCAGACTTGCGTGTTCATGCTATTCGTTGATAACTATATTTGCATAAAGCTATGCCTAGCTACCGTGTCCAAGACACACTTTTTGCCTCAATTAAACAGATGTGTATAAAATTAAAACTCGATGTTGTCGCTGTTTGTTAATTATTAAATTATTTATTATTATTATTATTTATTTTTTATACCACCCTCCCCATCATGTGTATTTTAGATGTCAAGGAATATTACAGAGGCATCCTCCTCCCCCATGTATACTGACATTACTTTAAAACACGTGTAGCTTGGGTATGCATCGTTAAAGCGTTTAATAAAGATATGCTTAAATTAATATGTTGGAAATTAGCTATTCCACGAGTGTACCTACGTTGTTGAAAATTAAGAGTACCTTCCAAGAGTTATTGATCTCCGCCATTGTCTTGATTCTTTCAGAACAGTCTGCTTTGGTCGAGTGTTCTCCTTTTCTTTCCTCCAAGGTCATTTGTGGAACCATGTGGGTCATCACCCTTTTAGCCCCCACCAATGCTTCAATGCAACCAAAGATCGGAGATTAGTTCGGCTTTGGACGCTTGTTTGACATATCAAAACATGATTGTTTTCAAATGATAACCCGGATCCAGTAGAACACTAAAATTGCGGTTTGAAAATCTTGCTTCTAAGGAGAGAGGGGAGAAAGAGAGAGGGAGAAAGAGAGGGAGACTGATTTTAATTTCGATCACGTTTACTTTATTGCGGGCCTGGGCTAAGGTAATTGAGATGGATGGGGTGCAGCAATCCTTCACAAAAGTTGGATTGCTCCCCTTTCATTTGACTTTAAAGACTCCACTCTAAAGCACTGTGTTGGTTTGATATAGGGCCAAAACAAATACCCCGGACACTGCGTTACAGGCATTCACGCAATGGAGAGTCCGACCCAAATGCAGATTAGACAGAAGGGTCAGGTGATGCCCCAGGCGATTTTGCTAAGCTCGGTAGCAGTTCCATTGTTAGACTCCGCATACATTATTTTTGTTTGGCAGAGTTGCGCAATTGTTCATGTGTTGTTTAGTCGTGCAAATTCCCACACTCCAACTGAATGCTCTTAAAAGATTGCATATATATTAAGCCAGTACTAATTTGAACCCCAATCACTGACTGACCCTCTTGTTTTCGAATATATAAACAAATTTACCTCATAATGACAAAGCTTGTTTACGAGCACTCTTCTGTCACTGTGATGAAACGTCCGTTTTTGGTGGGACAAGATGCTAATGTGGAAATCCTCTCAGGGCAGGGAAATGAAGAACTAGCTTTGAGAGACGACTGAGACCAGCGGGGACTCTATAATTGACTCGTTTTTTTCGCCCAAAGCAGAACGTTTCCGTTTTATTGGGAAAGTAGCGTATTGGATATATATACATATAACTAACAAGTCACACAGGCTGACGGGGTATGCTCTGTTATTGGCAAGGGTCGTGTCAATGTTCAACCCATTACGATGTAACGTTAACCCCACTCGCGACCCTGCTTCACGAAGTTCACCCTTTTAAAAGTAGCTACATTTGGCCGTGTATTCTTTTCAATCACCGTCGTTGCTTCCTTCTCGCCTAAGTTATTTGTGGACGGCATGGCGGGACTGGCCACCTTTCACCTCTCGTCTACACCTAGGCGATAGAGCGGGACAGCCTTTTGTCGGAGTTTAGCCATTTGTCATTTGCCTCTTAATGATGACACGACAAGCTAGTGATGAAAACGAGGGGTTGCATGTTCGCAGTACGAATCACACCGTATAAATAAAAAAAATCGTGGGCATACATGAAAACGCTTTTACGATTCTGTGCCACGTTTTGCATTTCGGTTGGTAATGCAACTCTATAACTTGTAAAAAGTGTGGTGTGTGCTAAGTTATAATTCTCTGAATTGAATGCCTTTATTCCCACGTGTCGAGGGAAGGTGTGAAAATGGTGGAGTGGCTAAACCCATCAACAACTTCCTAATTTCATTAGGGGAAGGAGTATATTCATAAAACATCTATTACGTGCTATTTTATAGAGTTGACCAACTATTAAGTGAGAAATGGTCTGTGATTTGAACTCACACGCACACCGAGTCTGTACAGCGACCATCTGGCTCGGCGTCACGTTAATAATACATACACCGTAGTACACGCTTGAATCATGATGGATGGTCGGTGAACTTGCACACGACCTTAGCGGGTCCATTCCCCGTCAGTTTGAACATTTGGAATCGATTTCGCACCGAGACGTCGCGAATGGAGCATATATCAAAATAAAACCTTTGAATATAATACTATTGCCGGTTCTAAACGAAAAATGCCGACTGTCTGAACTGCGATGCTCCACACCTGGAGAGGCCTCCTTACTTGTACCCTCAGTTTATCGTTGCGGGGGGGGGGGCAGTTCCTGGGCTGATGCAGAAATTTGTGTTTAAAAAAAATATGTTTAAAATAAAAAAATGCCTGTTCTCCCATCCTAATCAATTTATATTTATTTCCGCATCTGTGTTACTCTTCTTCACTTCTTAGCTTTTGAATCACTCATCGCGATCCTCCAGTTACAATTTTCTGTAAATTTGCCAAGCCACTGCTCATGCTATTGTAGGATACATTATTCAATCGCTACCACGACAGTCACCCGGGCTTCATGAGCTGTTATCCATTTGGCAGATTTCGTTGAAAAAAAACACACACTCATCATTGCGTCCAAAGAGCACGGTTGTTTGCAAATTACAAGATGGCGGCGGAATCGCCGGCTGTCAACGTTTGTTACTATATGTTTTAGGATCAGAAAGCAACGCGGGACACGCTAGGCCCGGAGGAATGCGACGATTAAATCTTATATTTCTATTTGCACAATGTTATATTATTGTGCGTAATGCATGATTTTTTTTTTCGTTGTGGTACTGTCAAGTTTAGCACAGTTATCATGCACGTGCCGCGTGCGTTGATGATAACTATATTGTGTATGGATAAAAGAGTTAAACAGAAGCCACATGAACTAAATTTAAAAAAAACACACACACACACATATATATAGAGAGAGAATTTAGTGCTTCCCGATAAAGCCTGTGATAATCAATAAAATAGATTATTTTACTCAACACGATTTCCTGTATTTCGCGGTAGTAGGTGGAACAGTGAGATACCTATCCGCGTTTTACGCGTGTGCGGGGAGTTGTGTTACATAGAGGATTTATGCAGCGGACTTGTTCATTGTTATTTAGGGAATATAAGAACAATAAAAAAAGTTGCATACCCTGACTTTTGTATTTTTGGTGGTAATTATACTTCAAAACACCGGGACCCTAATTTTAGCTTTTTGCACCTGCCAGATGGTATGTTCCGCCGTTGTTTTCTTGTTATATACGGTCTGAATAAAATTGCTGGTTTTCGTTTTTTTTTGTTTTTTTTATAAAAAAATGAAATGCATGTGTTGATATTCCACTGCTTAACGTACGTGATGAAGTTTTGTGTAGAATGAGATGTAACTGAAGTATATGATCGGCCTGGGTCGTCACTTGTATACAAAAATAAAACTTGACCATTGTAAACCGGGTATATTACACGTGTATATGTCAATGCTATAGTATTTCGAGTGACTCAGACGGCTGATAAAACCTCCCCTGCGCCGATATTGATATGCAAAGTTGTCTCCCGAACTCAAAAGGATTTTACAATCCAGGGGTATTTTGTGTTGTTACGAGCCAGAGCTGAAAGCGTGTGTCAAGGTGTAATCGGGTTCTCGAATTCGCAGTGAATGACAAATATGTAGACCATTTACAACTGTTGGCCTGGTAGAGTTTCCAAATTTCGGGATTAAAGAGGAAGGTATGCTGAGCCCACTTCGAATCGAGTGCCTGCCCATATAGTGCGATGACGCGAGGCGCCGTGTCGGTAGTAGGCAGTAATATGTGCGAATTAAAACCAGTAAACAAAGTAGCGAGATGGCCTCGTGGCTTCAAACATTCGCAAGTTCATAACGTCTATGTAAAGGACAATCGACACCCGCTCCGGCGAGACTACAAAACAATATTCGATTTGACACTCAGCAACACCTATGTTGATATCATTCCAAAATCTATTTACGACAAACATAGATTATTAAAATGTGTGAATTTGGATACCCGGCCTAACGACAGTCTCGTCCTTTGTCTTCAGTATAAACTATTGCGGGCGATGGCACACTTCTCATTCACGGACGTTCCCTGCCAAATCTTGCTGGTAATGTTCCAAACTACCCGGTATTGCCAGTAAACTAGATCACATAGTTCCCATTTTACTTTTTAATCAATTTGCGGTTTCTCTAATTAGGTAAAAATATGGCACTCTACAAATATGAAATGCGGGGTTGTAACCACAGAGTTGCGACCGCAAACGTCACTGTAATTTTGAGAAAGGGGCCGTTGGTGGCGACGGAACACTGTGAGAACTGTAGTACAGCGAGACATCGATGTAAAGCACCAGAGAAAACTGTCACTGAATGGAACTGTGAGCAGATCAGTTGTGACACTCAGAAAGCCTTACGTTGTACATTGCATTATAGGTGACCAACTTGAACGTTTGGTGGAACATCACCATTTTGACGCCATGTTTATCAGAGCTCGTTCAAGTTGTTGATGCCTCGCCTAAGCAGCAAACTTAATATTCGGCGGTGTTAATATTCTGCCTTGTGTGACCACAATGATAGAGACGACTTTTTTTTAAATACGAAAGCCGGTCAAATTGCAGGGTAAATTAGAAACACGGAAAGAGGGCATTTTGGGTGTTTACGTCAGCTTAAGAAAAGTACGGTGTCTGTCTCAGGTGAAGCGGAAACGTACGGCTTTGATTCACTGCCTTTCAGACTGAGAAATCGCATGAAAGACGATGATACTAACAATACGTTGTCTTGATGGTGCAGAGGTGTTTCAGTGGACGGCGTAAAACGCTGGAGCGACTGATCGTGGTCATTTCAGTCTAAACGACTGACTAACGCCGCTGTGTTGGAGTTATATAGTGGTTCAATGAGTCTGATGAGCTTGGCCATATAAGGGCAATAGGTCCAAAATTAAAGAGTAAATAAGTATTGTTAAGACTATTAAATCTGTATCAACTGTTTCACAAAACAAACAAACAGACGAAATCC